TTGTTCTCCTTAGGAAAAGTGCCCCTCCCCCATAAAAATACCCTTCATCATGCCTCGGACAATAGACAATTTGTGTAATGTGACCAGATCTATAGCACACGTCTTCTGTTACAAATAAATGTATTTCAACAATTTGTATGCAAATGCATACGTCTCATGTTGTAAGGTGGCTAGAGCAAGCCATAATGGTTGTCCTACCTTTTGTATCAAATGTGTATGCGAAGTTATTAGATTTGGTAACATTGCAAAAATTATCTATTAACTTGAGGCACTAACCCATTAATATGATTAACAATTGGATAAATATCAAGGTCTTGATGTTGATATACCAATTAAATTCCTATACTCTGTTTACCATAATATTTTTGAGAACTCATGAGCGCTATATTTTATATTTAATATTCATTCCTTAATTCTTTAATTATTCCTACATCTTGAGGTGTTGTGGACTAGAGAAGTGTGCATCGCCAGGCTGTGGATCACATGGCTTGAAAGTCGAGTCCCACCATGGCAATAATGCCCTCTGGCTAGACATTAATCTACATTTACCTCTCTCCATCCAGGTGTATAAATAGGTACTGCAAAATCTCAGCTAAAGATGCATTCCCAATTTATGAGCCCGTTTCAAATGTTAAAGAAGAGACAGATAAGCTTTTATATAGTAGTGGAACAGAAAGTACAGGCTGTGCAGTTGCAAACAGCACCGTAACGATTGAGCAGTATGCATTAGGCATTTCACGAGACCATCTACATCGTAACTTAATGTCACTCCGTGAATAACCCTGCCCTTTGTTGCTTAGCAACAGGCAATGTTACAGCACGTGCCGACAGATGATGCTCAAGATAGGATCAAAACAAATTGTCTCCAATTTCATGAAAACCATCCCATGTTTATCATACAAATTTCATTTGGCTCAGGAAATCTACCCTGCATCTATGATTTAGAGGGAGACATTGAACTGAGGACGTGTAAGGATTTGTTGGCCAGTCAAACAGAAGGGTTGTGCCGGTTCTAGTGTAATGTCTTTGATGTTATCTTCTCCTTGAAGTGGTGGATAAATAATTCCGATTTAGTCTTATTAAATTCTGATAATTGTACAAATTGAAAACTTTGTGACTGGTAAAGGAAATTGAATTTGAGTTTAAAAAGTATGAGAGCTCATTATTTGTACATATTTAATTTACAGACTTTGTCTGACATGTTTGTCTGACATAGCAACATGTATTTGTTTGGAACTGCTTAATGAAATATCTCATCACTTTAATTGGGAAGAAGCATCCATTAATGTTGTGCATTACAAAATGACCTATTGTAAGACAATTATATTTGTGTAGTTTTCTTTTAATTGACTACACATGGTTACGTGCCCAGAGATCTGTCATTGAAGTATGAAACAATGTGAATGAAGGACTATATAAATGTAGATTACTATTATTGATATGATGATGATGATAATGATAGTTAGGGCATGGATAGAATGACACCCTAAATTATGAACACTTACTTTAAAAATAAAGATTTCCATCTATCTGGATTTATTTGAAAGTTTATGAATAATAATTAATATGAAATAATGTTTTAAGAATTGATAAAGACATCATGTAAAACCAACACTCCCAGAGTATTTTTTCCATCCTATTTGCAGAACTTCAGGTATTGCACTTAATCGAGTGTGTAAATAGATATTCTTTCTCTGTAGGTCATTCCTGGCACAGTTGTGTATATTCCCTTCTAAGTGGCTGAATCATTTTTGTTTGTGCATTTTTCCTCCAGGATTTTGAATATATGTTTACTTCCGTGATAGTAAGTTGATAAGCCAGGAATAAATTTCATCAGATAAATCTGTCTGTTGATTGTATGTCAGATTCATCTGGCCACCTTTATTGAACAGAGGTAAAGCAGAAAAGGGATATCTGATCCTTAATTTTTGTTTTCTGAAACTTATTTTGCTTTTCCATCCTCACCACTCTCTTCTCCGACAACTGCGCATTATAGATTACCCTCACCACATTTTTCTCTCCGGCTAAACCCGACACTTCGATAAAAGCCAGCGTCATATAACATTACGGCAGCGCCTGCTGATGAACATGTCCAATAAAAGGAATATACCTTGGATAGAGCTGTTATAGTTCCCACTGCTTCACTACCATCCCTCGAAAGCTCTCTTAAAATGAGCCATTGATTTTTTTTTCGCCAACACGCGCAGCTGCGCAGAAATGGTGCCAGAAATCAATATTATCATTTCATGCGCTTGTGGCGTGAGTTAAGTCTGGTCGGGCATGAAGGACGACCATTCTATCCCCGCTGAAATGTCAGCATTGATTGTTTTTTTTGTGCAAACGCATTATCTCCATCTCTGATTTGGCCAGATTCTTTTCATCAAATGTCAATATCACATTACTTGAAACTGTTTGAGGTGTGAGCTGGGTTTGGTGATGACTCTATGGCTTTTGTATGAAGAGGGAAGAGGAGGAGGGGAGAGGTATCTTTATACATTCTGCGTGGGTCTCCTGTCATAAATGGGTGGCAAACCAATACGTTACTCAAAAGGCCACGTACATGTAGGTGATTCTGCATGTTTATTTGATGGCTTTTCTCAAAACAGTAACATTAATTTCTGTAGTCAGAAGGCTACAGACTTGTTTGTGTAACATGTTCTGCTTCTACAGCTATTGAATCTAACCTGTGATCATTGAGCTCTGATTGACTTGAAATGAGACCTATTGGAAATGCATGTGAAATGGAAAATTAAATCGTCTTCCAAGGATTTAATGTTATGTACTAATTCAATTCAAGAAAGCACATATACTATAAACAAAATAATAATTCATATAATACATATTGTACATGTTTGGCCGTGCATACAACAAACTGTTAGAAAGGACTAATCACACAAAAAATAAGACATTGTTTATTTGAAAGGCATATGACTATCTCAAATCGGTAAGGCTTTCATATTGGTAACATGGGAAAATGGACTTGATATTAGTTTACATTAATTAATTCAGAGAATAATACTCTTAAACAATTGAAAAAGTCATTAAAAAATGTAACACTTTAAGCAATAAGAATGATATATAGTCATAGCATGAATATTTTAACAACACTACAGATCGGTGGCTTTTTATCATAATTTATCATAGCTGCCCTTTTTTTCTTAAAACTTGATAGCAAATATTTTTCAGCTGCTGAGGATTTGTTTGTCTCTGTCTTTAAGCTCTTTGGTATTAAAGAACAGAGAACTGAAAGATGAGCGGTATTTAGATGCCCTTGCATGGATAGATGTTTTGGTTACACAACTCTAACCAATTTCAAACTTCAAACCTAGACCCAACACTAATATCTAACGCTAACTCCCAGTTGAAACCCTATCCCCACACCCTTTACATTTTTATGGGAGATGCGATGGCTCAGTAGTAGAGTGGCCGTCTCGTAACCATGAGATCGCAGACTCGAAACCAAGTTGATGTGCGCCCTTTGGCAAGACATTAATTCTCACTATAAAGTCCCTTGGAGTAGAATTAAAGCCGTCAGTCCCCTGGCTGCTTACAATCATACTCATGCTTTATTAGCAGTCAGGTAAAACAACCAAACCAATCACCGTTTGACAAAACCAAGCCTGGAGTAATTGTTGTAGAAGGAATCTTCGGAGCACCTTCTCTTTAGCTCAAGTCCCCTTCTTTACCATATTAAGTCATCTCCTTATGGGGTTTCAATACTGCAGCTGTATCTTCAGTACTGTGATATCGTTAACAGAGTCATATCTAATATTGTTTGTTTTTATATTGACTATATGTATGACATGCTGTAAATCCATTATGCAGTGGTACTATCAGTAAATAGAATCAATCCATCAATCAATCATATTGTCTGTTTGGAGCCAGAGGGACGTTAACCCACATCATATCACACAGAGTTAAGGCCCATCGGACTCCAGACAGACAAAATGTTTTGACAAGGTGCATAGTATATATCTATCGTCATCTCTGTTCTGTGTTTGTTTTGAAGAGTTCCTGTTATGATGTCATACTCCGGGAGGTGTTATTACCACATTAAACTATGCAGGGGCAGATCCAGGAATATTTGAAAAGTTAGATCAAGTAAAAAAAAAAAGAAAAAAAATGAAAAACAAAGTAAAAAGAAAGAGAGAGAGAAAATGGAGGGTTGTCACATTTTCACTCCCTTTTTAGTACCTCTTTAATTCTTTGAAAAGCAAGCAAGGAAACGAGTAACAGTAACAGCAAAAAAGTGAATACATTTGCTATTAAAAGGGGTAGGAGTCGCAAGACCACCATTTTGTTTTTTTTTGTTTTTTTGGACGGTACATTTTTGCATTCTTAAAATATGCTAGATGTCTGTAAAGGGTACGGATGCCTGTCCCCTTAGCTCCTCCCGTAGATCTAGGAATGACAGTATAGGGTATATGTTTCTGGTTAATTCATCTGCACCCGCCCCCATCCTCAAGATGGGTGCACCTGCCTACCTCATGATTCTTTTGAGATAAATCAATATTCATTTATTTTTTTCTACATTTTTTCCCTCCTAGTTAAAGGCATTTTAAAATTATTTGGAACAGTATTAATACATTTCATCCAAGACTGTGCTCACCTTTATATATAATTTCTTTATTTTGTTTTTTTTGTATGAAATAGGAAAAAAACATGACTTGGAAAAAAAGGTCTTTAAAATCATATATAAGTGGTTATCAAAAAGCGGTATCTGAACTCTTGGAATACTTAAAATAAAATAAATGTTTGAATCCATACTGGAACACACAATTAATGTTTATTATAATGATCATACAACGTTTAACTCAGTTATTAAAAAATATGAAATCATTTCCGAGTGGTTTTTCATAAAGCAGTATCTAAACTATCACTGTATATTACATCAATGAAATGAATGTTTTAATTTGTATAAGGATCACGTTATTGATATTTATGTTCAAATTTACAATTGTATATGACTATAATTGTGTAATTGTTTTTCTATCTTACAGAGAGACATTTTGATTGACTGAAGACTCAAGCTGTTGACTGTATCAATCGACGGGACTCTGGACTGGACGGTAAGTTTTGATTGATCGATGATAATTGACTCTCGGCTCGGTCTAGATGGCGCAGAAATAAGATAACCCATGGTCCAGACTGTGTGGATAACCGGTCAGATAGAGAGCTTTATTTACATCACAAGTGTGCTAACGTATTGATTACATGGATGAAATACCCAGTGGTCTATGCATTTACAGAACAGGATAAAGAAGTGTTCACACCGGGTTGACTATGTAAGAACATAGCTGCCATTGCAAAATAGGAATAATTTTAATGTGAACATGAGTAGGAAGTTTGGTTGAAAAAAAGTACCTGTGCTCAATAAAGTCTGTTGTGCATAATCAGTTATCTGTTTTTTACAAGATGTAGAATATGCACTCATTGTGAAACACAAGCAATCCCCCTGTGCCACATTGTATGTATCGTGGGATGGATATACCAAAGGCTTCTAGAACATTTACCTGCTTCCAGTCCAAGATTTTAAAGTGTGTTTAAATAAAGGGGATGTCATGGACCTTATCAAGAATCCTACTTTCAATTGGTGCCCATTATTTTGTGCAAAAAATGCACTTATGGCAATCGAGCGACCATGCACTTTTATGCAACATATTTCTTTTCGGGGGGGGGGGGGGGGGGGGGGGTAGTCCGTTTACTGCATCGCGTGTGAACAAACCTTAAATATGAAGTTGAGTTCTGGTCATGCGATTGCATTGTGAAAGAAACGGTGTGGAATCGATCAGAAAAGGTTGATCATCTAGCATATAAGAATTTGTTTGTATTGCAAGGTTCTTGGATCATCAAAATGAAAAGAAATTTGGCCAAGTCTTGGTAAAGTTACAAACACTGTACACAGAAATATGTATATGGGACTACATGAACACGTGGCGTAAAAATCCTACCCCCCCCCCCCCCTGAGTTTTACGATGTTACATGTCATATTTAGAGTATGAAGGCATTTGAAGAGCCACGCTTTTCAGGGAACATCTCTTATCTGATGTTCTTCCACACTTGCATAATAAGAATGATAATTATGCTCACAAATTATTTTTCACCTCTTCCCAGAACTCAACCTTCTCTTTAAAATTGTTTTTTCGCGTTGACATGTATTTCTGTAGCTATTGCTCTTTGAATCCTTGGCCAGTCCCCCCCCCCCCCCTGTTGCAACAGTCATAATGCCATCTGTCTTGTCCCTTTTCTGTTTTCTCCTGATTTCTCCTGATTTCATTTTATTATCATCCATCCCCAATACGAGGATTGTATTTTGTTGTTGACTTCTCACCTATGTTAATGTGTTTCAAAGGGGATGAAATAACACCATTTCATTTTGTAGTCTGTGTATAAAGACTGGCCTTCATCTATCCTCATCTTCAGAACATAAAATGACACGTTCTAGGTTTGTCTATGAAGACTAGCTGTTGTACATCATTTTCCTCTCAATTATCAGTTCTAGAGTCTGTCCATGAAGACTAGTCTCTTGTTTATCATCATAGTAATACATCTCAGTTATCAGCATCAGAACATGAAATGACATCTCTCCTCCTGCCTACGCACAGGATGATAATTGGGCTTTCTTATTTCATATTCATTGAGTGATGAGATTTATCCCAATATCGGTCACTTCTACATGGAGGGGTGAATTAGCCCAATTGAGGCTGATTTTTAGGTCATTTTCATAATTATGCAGAAGCCATGTACCCAATTAGCATCTGTCATAGATGATTTGTACAAGGCCTGTTAGTTATTCACAAAAAATTAGTATGACCCTCGCCACCCCATCTATGATAAATGTCATCATAACATCCCATTTGCTCTTTGTTAGCCTCATAAATTGTTCCACTTCACAAATTGATGTAGTACGTTGATAAATTTGCTGACATTGGAAACCTATCTTAGAGATGTTTGTATCTTGTATCTTACCTCCCCCACCCCCTCCTCTCTCTCTATATCGTTCTCTCTATCTCCCTCTCTTGCTCTTTTTATCTCTCTCTCACTCTGTCTTTCTCTCTTTCTCTCTCTCCCTCTATCAATCACTCTCTCCTCTCTTTCTCTTTCTCTCCTCTCTATCTCTTTCTCCCCCTCCCTCTCTCTCTTTCTCCCCCTCCCTCTCTTTCTCTTTCTCCCCTTCTCTCTCTCTCTCCCTTCTCTCTCTCTCTCTCTCTCATGCACACACATACGCATACACACACACACACACACACTTCCTTTCCTCTCTCCTCTGTCATCTCTCCTTCTCTGCCTCTCCTCTCTCCTCTCCTTTCCCTGTCTCTCATCATCCTTATCACTCTCTTCCTTTCTCCTTCTTGCATTGGTTTGGGATACATTCTACATCTTGCATGAAGGTAAAATAAATTTAAAATATAAGAAAATACAATATCACATATCATTAGGCATAATTCCTCTTTCAACATATTAAATGATAATCTTGAACTGAACCCTATACTAGAGGAAGATTATATTTGTTGTGGATATATGTTGACCGCTCGACCCTTAAAAGCCTATCCTGTTTTCATTTCACTAGCTTTTTTTTCTCTCTCTCAAAAAGATGGAGAACAAGTGTGAAACCCTTTGCACAATTACACATCTACACTTGACATACTGTTGTTTGTCATGTGTGTTAAGAGAATGATTCATAGTTGCTCTCAATGTACTCACCGCCCTGACGACCCCCCCCCCCCCCCCCCCTGTAGAGTAGCAGTGATGTTTTAGGCATGAATCTGACTAATTGTGAGTGTATTATGCATTATAGATCTATACATGATATCTGCATGTACAATATGACATGATATTTACCCATTTGTCCTGTGGCATAAACATTAATGGATTAGATTTTTCCATCAGGCAAAAAGAAAATAATAATAATGTTCAACCCATTATGTTCAACCCCTTTCAAAACAGAGCTGGTAAATTGTCAGACCTGTCCAAATATGTATTAAGAGTATTAAAGCAATGTTAGCAATCGAACAAACTAAGCTCCAATGTTTTACCTTCTTTTGTGCAATAGGTAGCAAGAATTGGAGTGTTGGGAAAAAACAAATTGTACATTTGAAGAAAAAAGATAAAAACAGGTATCATCATTGTGAGGCTTTTCCCATGGAATATATTTTATACCCAAGCAAAACAATGAAACAAGCTTGGTAAGGTAGCTTTGATAGTGAAATGTAGTGACGCAAAAATGCATCTGGAATACCTTGAAGCCAGTTGAAGGAGTTTGATAGCACAAACATTTACCTTAAATTAAATTCTCTGACTCGTACCGTGGGCGGGAGACACTTGATGGTATGGGGATATGTGCCACTTAACGTTTCAGATGAATACCAAACACTTAGGGTAAACTCCCACGTCCCGTCTTGGTACATAACGGACGTTGCTTGTTATGACGCGCTGGTCTACAAAGAGGACTTTGTTGTTGAACCTGTCACAGAAAGGAAATTTCTGAAGACCTCTCGAAATTGGCAATGTTGATGTTTTGCTTTCACTGTGACATATCTTAAATTGAACCAAATGAAATCTAAATCATTGAGATAATGATTTTGAGTGAGATACATTGTAATGTTTTGACATTGTACAACTTGAGGCTTCTCTTTCATTATGAACTGCATTTAATGAGTTGAGAAACTGACTCAAATAGTGCCTCGAAGTTGGTGATTTATACTCTTAAGACATTTAAAAAAATGGGCTTTTAGAGTGGGATTAGCGATTGGTGCGTTTGACATTATACAGATACAGGACAGTTTCAGATGGGATTGTATTTAATGTGGCAGACATGTGGTGTTCTAGTTCTCGCTAAGCTCCACGAACGATCTCCCGTGGAAGGACGCAAACGAGAACCTCACGTCCTCCCACCTGCTTCCTCCCGGAGAACTGGTGCGGAAAATTCAAGTGCATCGGCCTAGCAAATTGGAAGCGAGCCCAACGCCAACGAGGCTGTGCAGGGACGCGGCAAAGTGCCAAGACGGGATCCAATCAAGCATGCCAGTTAGGCCCATCGCTTAGTGAAAATTAATTTAGCCTGATCATCATCTCCACATTGATTCACACCTGGCGAGGTTCGGACGCAGTCAACGGAAAGAGAAAGTATAGCTGCTTACCCCGGCCGATCAGGCCTCCGTCATCATTTCAACCAAGATGCTTGAAAAAGCAGAGTGAAGCTAGCATCACTAGAGAGTGAGCTAGTCTAATTGAGCAAACGGACAGAGGCTTGTGCAGCTAGCAGAGTTGTTTTCTCAATACGGAGTGATGTCCCAGAAGACGTGTGACTGGAGTGCCACTGTAGGAAATGTGATCCGTTATAATATAAGTTGAATGCATAATGTGAAGGATGAAGGGGACATACCTGTGTATCTTCTATTCAGCAATGTAACCTACATCCAGATAGGGAAGGTAAAGTAAAGGAGGAATCTGTTTAGACATCTTAGCAAAATGCAGTGGCATGGAAAGATTGAGACTCTGGCCAGAATGCAAAATGCGTAAATGTTAAAAATCATATATTTATCATTTAGAGTTACAACCATGTCATTGGGATGTGCAGCTGGTAAATGCAGGTACTACTTTGAGTAGGCTAACTGTTACATAAGCTTTCAATGAGAGATATATACCAGTATGTAAAATTTTAATTTTAATTGACAAACATCACTAGCTATAATGCCTTTTGTATACCGGAGACATCTCTTTTTGCCACTACATTTTGCTATTTAAAGCTACCTTATTGAAGAGGCCATCAAGATGTCTACTCATGTACAGCCTGTTCTTGGCAAGAGTGTACACCTTTGAGTGTCTGTTTACATCTAATGAACTTTTTTTATGGAACTTCTATTATTATTATTACTTATACCGCACTTTTTCTATAAGGCCCAAAGCGCTTGTACAGTAAATGAAAATGAAAATTGCATAACTACATGTGATAAGTCTTACAACTACAAACTGCAAAAAATGATGTGTCTTTATAAGTCCTTTCTCAAGGTAATAACTGATGGAGACTGCCTAATTCTAAGTGGTAGATCATTCCAGTATTTTGTCGAGTAACTGAATATGTGAGACGGAGAGGATCACTGAGAGGATCATTCTTTCAAGATTACTTCAATGATATTGGGAACCTAGATGGATAGTACGGCAAAGTTGGGTTCTAAAGAACTTCCAATCTAAAAACGGCATTTGCCATGCATTACT